CTACCACACCCAGCAAATTTTTTGTATTTTTAGTAGAGATGGGGTTTCACCATGTTGGCCAGGCTGGTCGAAGTAATATTACTTTAGAAGAGCAATTCATTAGACTGCCCAGCCTCGCAAATTGTTGTTTGCTCAAGGCAGGTAACAATTTATGCTAAGCATGTTGTAAAAATGCTAATTTCAAGTATTTTATCTGCTATATGCCTTCGAAAAAGATGATAAAATTTGCTGAGTTTGATATACTTAAAGCCTTGTTGAAATGCAGCACTTTAATCATAGACATACATCAAATAGGACTTATGTCAAATAGGACATAAAGGCGGATCACGAGGTCAGGAGATCGAGACCATCCTGGCTAACACGGTGAAACCCCATCTCTACTAAAAAATACAAAAAACTAGCCGGGCGTGGTGGCGGGCGCCTGTAGTCCCAGCTACTCGGGAGGCTGAGGCAGGAGAATGGCGTGAACCCGGGAGGCGGTGAGCTGAGATCCGGACACTGCACTCCAGCTTGGGTGACAGAGGCAGACTCCATCTCAAAAAAAAAAAAAAGTTTTAGACTACTAAATAAGTTTGTTTGTTTGCTTTAGAGACAGGATCTTACTGTGTTGCCCAGGCTGGAGTGCAGTGGTGGTATCATGGCTCACTGTAATCTTGAACTCCTGGGTGCAAGGAATTCTCCTGCCTCCACCTCCCAAAGAATTGGGATTATAGGCATAAGCCACTGTGCTTGGCCTAAAGATGTTATTTAAATTCAGTCTCTCTCCCTCCTCCCCTCTCTGAGGGACACCTGGCTTTTTTTCTGGACCCCAGTAAAATATCTGGGAGTTTAACTGATGACATTTGAATACAGACCAAACATGTCTTTAGGCTGCCTATAATGACACTATAATGTGAAGTTATACTAATTCAAAAACATACTCAGAACAGGGAGAGCAATGGTCTCAATGTACTCAAGCTAATTAGCACTTGATCAATCTTAAGCGCTACATTAAAAGAGGGACAGCGAGAACAGAGTTGGCCAACCAGGAGGGCTGATCAGTTGCTTTCTACACTCACTATTTTCTTATCTGCTGGCCCTTTTTTCTCAAGATATAAAGATGCTGAGACTGCCAAATTCCAGGGCTGATGGTCAGTCTATATATTAGTTGCTACTACATTGGATTCTGTTAACCTTTTCCTTCCTGAGACTATTGAAACTCCCCTTGGTCTCAATGGTCATCACTTCTAAATCCTCTGGCTGCTTCCCCTGAGTCTCCATCAACGGCTTCTCTTTCTTGGCCTGTCTTATTTTATTTTATTTTATTTTGCGACAGAGTCTTGCTCTGTTGCCCAGGCTGGAGTGATCTCAGCTCACTGCAACGTCTGCCTCCTGGGTTCAAGCAATTCTCCTGCCTCAGCCTTCCAAGTAGCTGGGACTACAGGCATGTGCCATCAAGCCTGTCTAATTTTTACATTTTGTAGAGATGGGGTTTCGTCATGTTGGCCAGGCTGGTTTCAAACTCCTGACCTCAGGTGATTCACCAGCCTTGGCCTCCTAAAGTGCTGGGATTAAGGTGTGAGCCACCGCACCCGGCCACTTGGCCTGTTTTTTGTTTTTTTTTTTTTTTTCTTTTTGAGATGGAGTTTCGCTCTCTCCTTGCTCAGGCTGGAGTGCAATGGCGCGATCTCCAGCTCATTGCAACCTCCGCCTCCCAGGTTCAGTGATTCTCCTGCCTCAATCTCCCAAATAGCTAGGATTACAGGAGCCCAACACCACGCCCAATTAATGTTTGTATTTTCAGTAGAGATGGAGTTTCGCCTGTTGGCCAGGCTGGTCTCGAACTCCTGACTTCATGATCCACCCATCTCGGCCTCCCAAAGTGCTGGGATTACAGGCGTGAGCCACCAGGCCCGGCCGGCCTGTCGTTTAAATCTTAATGTTCTCTATAGCAGCAGGAGCACAACTGACCCTTTTATTCTGACTGCAGTGCAATTCGTCAACATCTATAACTGCCCTGATATGCAGGGGCATCCATCTTCCTCTCCAGCCTAGACCTGTCTTCTGAGCTCTAGATATAAATATCTAATTGCCTGTAAAATGCCCCACAGACACCTCAATCTCCACAGAAATCCATCATCATATACCTAAAGCAAACCAGCTCCTCTTATAGTCCCACCTTGGGGGAAATAACTTTCACATACCCAGTTATCCAAGTAAAAACCCTGGACTGTCTTGATTTTGTGTTCTTGTCCCTTTCTAATATTCTGCTGATCTCCAAGCCATGCTGATTCTCCTTCCTGGGTGTCTTTGAAATGTATTCCCTCCTTCTACCAATGCTGGCATGGCACTTCCTCAGTTTAGGAATATTATCTCAAGTGTACAAGCTATTCTCAAATTATCTCAAATACCGTAAGAATCTGTCAAACTAGTCTTGCCTCCCAATTCCACCTACCCTCCATACTGTACCAGAGTAATCTTTCTAATATGCAGAAATATGCCATAATAATTCTAATTTCTGGCATTATCATTTACCAGTTAAAATTGTTAAGCCTCCCTTCACTGACAGGATAAATCCAAAACCCTTTGTGTAGTCCCTGATGAGCTGGTTCTTGCCTACTTAATCAGCTACTCTTAAGAGTAATTCTTCCTTGTTCACCTCATACTTCTTCCACTACGAACTACCTGCCATTCTCCAGACATCTCTCCCATGGCCTAACCATGAATAGCAATTTGTTAGAAAGGAGTGAACTGTCAGTAGACTTAAATACCTTAAGCAAAGGCTGCTGTGGTTTCCAAAAAGGAGTCCACATTTAGAGGTGATGGGAATAGATGGCCAGTGGGGGTGCGACTACCCCGAGGGGAGGGCATGGACACACACGGGAATGTGAACATCACCAAAATGCTGGGATGACACACAACTGTAAACACTGAATTATCTATTGGATAGGCTGTAATGGTCTATTTGAAACTTAATAGTTTCAAATTATTTTCACATCTTTCAAGGCTAAAATTGAGATTTTTTTGTAAAAATAAATAACAATAACAAACAATCCAACAAAAATCTATTGAGGCTCTACCTTTAGATGCAAATAAATACGTTTTGACAAGAGAGGGAAATATTTTAACCCCAAGGAAGCACAGTTGATCAAATTTTGCTTTATTTTACTTTTGTCATATTAGCATTGGGCCCCTTCCTTGTGAGCGGTTGCTGTCTATTCAGGCCAGGTTGAAGGTCTGATTCCTCCAAAAAGCCTGATCTGTGGCTCTGCTCTCAGCTCAGGGATCTCCCATTTCTCTGAGCAAACAGAGCCCTGGAAATCTGCACCACCATGTACTGCTGTGAATGTACTACGGCGTGTTCCATTTCACTGTTTCCTGCTCATCTCATGAATCAGATCATGAGCTTGCTGGGAACATGGCCAGGGCTACTTTTACCGTGGTGTTCTGTACCTTGCATAATACCTAGCATATAGTCACCTGAATGGAATACAATGAATAAGGGAATGAACAAATGCATAACTGTTGTAAGATTTCTCTTTATAATTATTTCTAATTTCACCTGAAGCCCGACCCAAGATCTCTATTTACCATTCTCTGTTTCACCTACAAGCAAATAAAAGCAAGCAAGCAGGCAAGCAAGAAACAAATGCATTTTCTTGTTTTTCTTAATAAAGCTTGACTTCTATCTCTAAGCCTCCATCACTAAATACATCTGAAGGAACCGTTGCAACACTTAGGGGGACAAGAATGTATTTTATATGTTTACAGGATGACATTTGAATGTTTACTCGACCATTATTTTGATCTTTCTGATTCACGATACTTTCAGAATAATGATTTGGAAGACCAGTTAATGTCAACTGAGTGTTCCACCTATCCATAACATGAGAAGGGTCCAGGGAAAGCCATTAAAATGTTCTTCTAAATAAAGCCCTCTGCAGATTGGCAGAATCATAGCGGATTTTCACGCTCATGCTCCTGAGACCCCTGGCTTTGTACTGGAAGCAGCATATGCCCCTCAGCTGACAGTGTTTTATGGATAATGCAGAAAGTGTGGCCCAGATAACAACATCCATGACATGAAACTTAACACTCAAAATACGCTGACAGTTCAGGGACATAAAACATGGTGACACGGTGTAAGTCTACTTTTTAGGGACTGAGGGAAACTGTTCAAGCAGGATCTGCTCCACACGGAGAACCACTTACCCAGGATTTGTTTGCTCCTTCACTCTGATCCAAGGCACCAGGAAGCGAATAATATTTTATATAAACACCGAGTTCTCACAAAATCACATTACAACATTGAATTCTCAAAGGAGTTAAGGTCAGTGCATTTATAGACTAAAGAAAATACTTCTAAGGAACTACTCAGTTGAAAAAAGCATAAGCACAGCTCTAAAGGATTTTTATCAGAAATTTCAACTTTGATATAGATACATAGGGGTTTGATTAGTATTAATAAGATCAACTCTATAATATATATTGAAATATAAAAGGCTAGTTCAGGGAGCATAACTTAGGAAGAAAACCTCAAGAGTGCAAATCAGAAAAGAAAAAAATGGGTGACAGTAATCAGTAATTTTCAACAGATTAAGATGTAAGTGGGAAAAATACTAAGTGTGGAAGATCTAGTACCTTTTAAATAAATATTTACTATTGGACTGAATATATCCTGGAACACATTTCAGATGTATAGGTCAAATAAATGCATGATTCTTTTTTTAAAATCAGGGGCCACCTTATAAATGACCTTAGAGAAGCATTAAGTGTTCAACTGGCCAAAATTACCATTATATGCTTACAAACAAGTTTGATTTATTTTCACTCTTACCTTGACATTTTGGGGAAGAAAAGTAATACACTCTAATACCGACACTGCAGTCTTTTGGGGGAATTTCTGTGAACTGTACTATCCCCATGACTAGCCACCTCCCTGCCAGCTCCCCATCTTTTGATCTTTCGTCTTACAGGGTAGGGAGTGTGTCACGTACATGCAAACACACACTCTCGTCTACCTGAGACAGTGACTGTCGGAGCCGTGCCATCTGCGTGCTGTGGCCTTTACTGTGATCCTGCTCGGAAACCATCTGCTTCAGCTTCTCCTTCTCTATAGCTATGCTATTAAACGCAGACTTCAAAAGAGAATGCACTGGGTGGGGAGAAAAGTGAGAAAAAAACTGTCAGATATGTGCAGAAAGAATACACAATATAAATTTCTCCAGACTTTCACTCACAAATAGACATTTTCTGGAAAGGCTATGTAATGGTCTAATTAAAAATTAGCCTTCAAAAGGAATCTTTATCAGAATATCTATACTCCACAAAAGTATTACAATGGCAATTGATCAGAGTGAAAAATTTGGTTTTCATACCAGACAGACCAACAAAAATTTGGAAGTAGTATGTAAAATATCAAGACCAATGCAAAGTATCAATATTTAGAAATTAATTTATAATCCCTAGAAAGAATAGGGAACAAGTTTACTTGCCATATTTGATTATCATATTTGAGCAGTTCTGTGTAGCATAAAGTCTCACGTAAATCATTTAGAACTATCCAAAAACCATTTTCTAAAGGACGCACCCAAAAAGAGCATTTTATGCATTCTGCCAACATAAAACAGCTGGCTGATCAAGAAGTTTTGACCGGTTCTCTTGGAGGTAAGAAATGATATGCTGTTAAGAACAGCACTTGCATTACTTTCTCAGACAGGAATATCTTGTTGTTAAAGTGCTTTGATTTAAAAGCCACAATAAAAACAACACCCCCTCCCCATCTGGTACATACCTAACAAATTAGCATTGGTAATCTGAGGCAGTCTTCAATCATGAACTACAAAAAGGTTGACTTTCCAACATCTATTTTTATGATAACAGAATTCCTATAATATGCAAAGTATTCTAAAATAGGTATTTCCTTATTTGAGAAAGGTATTTATAAAAGTGGAAATTTTTAGTGTAAAATAGAGTGGCTGAATTACAGGGGGAGAATGGCAGGATCACAAGGGATTCACGATCTATTGCTATGGCAATTGGCAGGATCGCTTCCTTTTTGAAGGCTGAATAATATTCCATTGTGTATGTGTATACCACAGTTTCTTTACCATTTGTCCACTGACAGATGCAATGAACATGTGAGTGCAGATAACTTTACAACAGGGTGATTTCATTTCCTGTGGATATATGCCTAGAAGAGGGACTGCTGGGTCATATAGTAGTTCTATTTTTAATTCTTTTAAGAATCTCTGTACTGTTTTCCAGTGTACATGGTTGCACCAATGTACATTCCCAACAACAGCGTACAAAGGTTTCCTTTTCTCCACACCCTTGCCAACACTTGTCTTTTTAATAGCTATCCTATCAGGTGTGAGGTGGTGGTGCATAGTGGTTTTGATTTGCATTTCCCTAATGATTAGTGATGCTGATCACCTTTTCATGTACTTGTTGGTCATTCTTATGTCATCTTTGGAGAAGTATCTACTCAGATGCTTTGCTCATTTTAAAATCAGGTTATATGTTTTCTTTTAAAGAAACATTTTTATTTATTTAATTTTTATGAGACAAGGTCTCACTCTGTTGTCTATTGTGGAGTACAGTGGCCTGATCATAGCTCACTGTAACCTTTAACTCCTGGGCTTAAGTGATCCTCCCACCTCAGCCTCTCGAGTAGCTAGGACTACAGGCACACATTACCATGCCTGGCTAATTTTTTAATTTTATTTTTTGTAGAGATGGAGTCTCACTATGTTGCTCACGCTTGTCTCGAACTCCTGGCCTCAAGTAAAGGTTATATGTTTTCTTCCTATTGAGTGTATGAGTTCTTTATACATCCTGGATATTAACCCCTTATCTGATACATGGGTTGCAAATATTTTTTCCCATTCTGTAGGTTATCTTTTTATTTTGTTGATTGTTTTCTTTGCTGTGCAGAAGCTTATTTTTAAAAATTTACACAACAAGGTTTTTAATTTGAAATTTTCCATTTATTTAGTTTTGATTTTTTAGCCTGAATTTTTGGTGTTATATCTAAGAAATCCGTCACCAAGAACAATGTCGAGGAGCTTCTGCTCTATGTTTTCTTCTAGGAGTTTTACAGTTTCAGGTCTTACATTTAGGTCTTTTATCTATTTTGAGTTCACTTTTGTGTATGGTGTAAGATAAGGGTCCAATTTCATTCTTTTGCATGTGGAAATCTGGTTTTCTCAGCATCGTTCATTGAATAAATTATCCTTTTCTCATTGTGTCTTTTTGGTGCCTTTTTTGAAAATTAGTTGATCATATATGTTTGGATTTATCTTGAGGTTCTCTTTTCTGTTCCAGTGGTCAATGTATCTGTTTTTAAGCCAATACCCTACTATTTTGGTTACTATAGCTTTCTAATATAATTTTAAATCAGAAAGCATGATGTTTTCAACTTTGTTTTTTTCCCCCCAGGTTGCTCTGGTTATCAAATTCTTTTGTGGTTCTATGTGAATTTTATCTATTTTCATATTTTTAATTTATTATACTTTAAATTCTAGGGTACATGGCACAACATGCAGGTTTGATACATAGGTATACATGTGCCATGTTGGTTTGCTGCACCCATCGACTCACTATTTACATTAGATATTTCTCCTAATGCTATCTCTCCCCCCGCCTCTGACCCCTGGACAGGCCCCAGTGTGTGACGTTCCTTGCCCTGTGTCCAAGTGTTCTCATTGTTCAAATCCCACCTATGAGTAAGAACATGTGGTGTTTGGTTCTCTGTCTTTGTGATAGTTTGCTGAGAATGATGGTTTCCAGCTTCATCCATGTCCCTGCAAAGGACATGGACTTATCCTTTTTTATGGCTGCATAGTATTCCATGGTGTATATGTGCCACATTTTCTTAATCCAGTTTATCACTGGTGGACATTTGGGTTGGTTCCAAGTCTTTGCTATTGTTAATAGTGCCACAATAAACATACACGTGCATGTGCCTTTATAGTAGCATGATTTATAATCCTTTGGGTATATACCCAGTAATGGGATCACTGGGTCAAATGGTGTTTCTAGTTTTAGACCCTTGAAGAGTCACCACATGGTTTTCCACAATGGTTGAACTAATTTACACTCCCACCAGCAGTGTAAAAGCATTCCTATTTCTCCACATCCTCTCCAGCATCTCTTGTTTCCTGACTTTTTAATGATCGTCATTCTAACTGTCATGAGATGGTATCTCATTGTAGTTTTGATTTGCATTTCTCTGATGACCAGTGATGATAAGCATTTTTTCATGTGTCTGTTGGCTGCATAAATGTCTTCTTTTGAGAAGTGTCTGTTCATATCCTT